AAATCAATACATTCATCGTTCCACTCAGAATCTAAAATGTAAATCGTTGCCTATGTAATCTATGCTCATAAAGAGTACATAGAAATATATAATATGTATAGTGCATAATACATGTGCACATTGTGTAGTGTGTTGTGTGTACATACAATAGCTATAATATGCATACATGCACGTAGGGTAGGTAGGATTAAGGAGAGAGAGAGAGAGAGAGAACAGGGACACAAATACGGACTAAACTAACCACCGATTACCAACGGGTATGTTACCTACAGCCGGCCTACAGGGTGATTTACCAAGTATGCTCACCCCTTTTATTTTTACAATAATACAGCGGTTCAGAATATTATTTTTATAAATACCGTATTTTAAATCTCGTTTTCCCTTTTTCAACCGAAGTTTATATCGTCAAGAGATGTATGTAGTACAAAAAATCTTAATAACTTGAAAATGCGGGCCTTACGGTAAACCCATTTTAAAAATCAATTAATTTAATTAATTATAAAACAAAAAATTTAGGTGAAAACATGCTTAGTGTTCCCCCAGTATAAATGTTATTATAAAATGTCACATAGGATATAATAATATAGTCTTATATATAGGTGAGTGGTGGTGAGTGGTAACACATGGAGGAGCGATTTTAATTAAATTTACGTGTGCGAGAACAATACGATTATTCAGATCGTGTGTAATAATATTATGATACAACGGTAAACCAGTAAACCGTTTATTGTGCACTATAAATACCAATATACTAATTAATATACCTACATTAATATATAGTATATAGGTAATTAATATATTATATCATATTGTAACTGTATGGCCGGCGGTCTGCGGGGCAAGGGGTTGAAATTCCATCGGCCTTTTTAAAAAGAAAAACCAAATTTTAATTAATTAATATAATTTTTTATTTTGTAAAGGGCAAAGTATTCATCGTATGTGTGAGACCCCGGTAGTCTGTGGCGCTTAAATTGACCATCTTCATTGTTGGTGGTTCGGGAATCGACCCTTTTGTAAAACGGAAGCCGTTTAGGATAAACGGTAGCCTATAATTGTATTATTGTAGATACAGCTACTACTGCAGGCTGCCTCCTGCAGTGACGGTCGAGGCCACCCGTTCATTTACACGCTCGTAAATAACAGCTGTCATCACGAGCCCCGCTCCGTAAGTGGGTATGCAATAAAACGTCATTGTTAAATGCTTGTAAACGATACGTTTTTGTCGTCATGTACTCACTTAGTGGTAGTTACGTTACTTTTTATCCTGTGTCCAGGTGTCACACGAAGGCATCAACGATAATCGACCTGTAATCGCCTTAGATATTAGTGCTTAATAGTTAATAGGGCAAATGTAAACTCCCCTAAAAAATTAAATAGTAAATTCCCCTAATAATAAACTCCCCTAAAAACATTTTGCTAACGTATTACGCTTAGGTAAACTCCCCTAAACAAAATTAGAGCCATTTAGAGTAACCCAGATTACACCACGTGGAGGCGGGTCTAGTTATCCTAGAAAAATATTTTTTTTTCTTCATAGAAAAATTCAACTCTTTAGAAAAATTCATATTCATCGTCATTCTAGTTTTATTAAAATTATTAAGTGTTGATTGTAGATATTGTTACTGTTGATTATTTTTTGTTTGAGTAATAATGAGAAATTGTTTTTATATAATGATATTTAGTTATTTTTTTTATCGTTATAATTTTGTATTAGTTGGTTTAATAATTGTTGTCGTATTTTTAACTAATTATTAATATCTATATATTATATCTTATATTAATATCTCAGAAAATATTTAATCATAATATCATAATATTTAATCATAATTATGCCCTTGCGACGTTGAAATTTTAATAAATAAATAGGTAGGTACACGTAGTTACTGTGTTTAAACAGTAAAATGTTTTTAGAGGAATTTACGCAAGCTCAATACAGTAGTGTAGTAAGTTAGTTACTACGGAGTAATACCAATTTCATGAGTACATAGTTATTATTATAATATACGATAGACCGGTATAAATAAGTAGTAAGAAAATTAGGGTTCAGAAATAGGCGTTGCAACATTTTACAGAAACAATACCAATTTCACGGGTGCATAGTTAGTATAATATACTATAGAACGGCCTAAAACAAATATTACAAAGAAAGTGGTTTGGTCTCCTTCTGTTAAATATAATGAGACAAAACCACTGAATAACTCAGGACGAGGGGTTCAAAAATAGGCGTATATAATATTTTACAGAAACACTGTACACGACGAATTCAAATAAAAAAAAATAGTAAAATGATTATTTTAATAATAGTCATAGTTTGGTAATACAGTCAATCGTAAATGCGTGGGCTAGAATGATGAGCACACAAATCACATTCGTGAGAACCGAGATATCGTATATGTAGGCAAGGGGTACGGGGAACCTCATATAAAACGGAGCCCGAATAGACCTGTATTCAGACGTGTACTACCACCCATTAGTGCAAGCACCTTCACGCCACTCTGTACAACATTATTTTGGACTTAGTAAAATTATCGAAGTGCAATAATAAAACTCACAATATTATATTATACAACAACTGTTCTCTTATTTATTTAACAACCACGACTACAACATCGGAAGAAGTGTCTGCGACCTGTACATTATACAGTATTATTGGTAGCCACTTATCTACTATTAGCACTACGATAGTAGGTAGGTACCAAGCAACCAAGATCGTTCCAGTAGCAAAATAGTTTTAGGGGAATTTACAAAAAAATTAGGGTAGTTTACATAATATGCCCATACAATTCTGGCACGACAAATACTTGTATATAAATTTAGCCCTTTTGGCTCAACAAATGGTATAGTATAATAATAAATAATAAAGACTCACAATTTGTAGGCGCTTTGCTGGCCAGCCGCTATACCTGTGCTCGTATAAAATAATTTGGTAGTTGACACACAGAAACAATCAATTATTAAAAATACGGTGATTCACACACGTACACAACACACAATGACGGCGATTAGAGCACACTAAAGATAATATTATAATAAAAATGCACGAATTGTGTTTACAAAAAATACAATAATAAATCTCCGGCGTCTTTGATACAAAATAATAATATTATGTCCGCGGCGATTTGCGAGCACAGCTTGAAAATAACAACAATATAATATGACGATTCGCGTATAAGTGCCGATCAGCGAGCACACTATAAAATATAATATAAAAGCAATATACAAAATTCGCACCCTCAAATAAACAATATAAAAGATTTCTGGCGATTCGCGGCCACAAATGAAACAGTATTAAAAACCGAAAACGGCGATTTGCTCACGTAACAACAATACAATTTTAAGTTTTAACTCTGCGTTAACACTAATTAACGGACTGCTGGCTTTTTAATTAATTATTATTTTAATTGTGTTTTTTCGACATATCGATATTTTGCCATTTTTTGCCATCCCTAGTGGTAATATTGCTTTCTTTTATTTTATAATCACGATAATAACAGCAGCAGTCAATAATAAAAATATCATAATATTTAATCAAACAATTTCGAAAAGGACTCATATCACTGAGATATCACAATTATATTCTTAAAAATTATAACGCGGTCAAAAAGACCGCGGTACGACGAAAGACGTAATATACACTAACGCGACTAACGAATAAAATTGTACCTATGTAGGTATTTCTAATTATAATTAAATAAAAAATTTCATTATTATAAAAAGTCTTGATTAACCGTGGTTTTCATTTGTGACCCCTTCCCCACCATTACCCCGGATAATCGAGGTTCCACTGTAAGGGCAATGTACAAAATTGTGGCGATTCGCGCCCTCAAATAAAACAATATAAAAGATTTCTGGCGATTCGCGGCCACAAATGAAACAGTATGAAAAACCGAAAACGGCGATTTGCTCAAGTACCTACAGCAATACAATTTTAACTCTGCGTTAACACGGACTGCCGGCTCTCGCTGCCGTGCTAATTATCCCGTTCCAGCGAGCAGGTGGTGGCTGATAGCGCGTATGCGACCGTGCGTAATCTACATATTATTATTATTATTATTTTTATATTATTATGTAACTCACAGCTGACACGGAATATTATACAAAAATAAAAACAATACTATAATACAAACAAAAACAAATAATATGTTGTGTGCGTGTGTGTGCCGGTCGGTGGTGGAGTGGTGAATAATAATATGTCATACTCATCCGGGCCCAAACAAACTGCACAAGTCAATTTAATATGACCATGATTTTTGTAACAAAATTAACGTGTCGCTGTGTTAACTCGCAAATTTTTAATTGCAGCTCTAATTAAGTTACAAAGATCGTGCCACCAGGGGTATATATAATTGACTTGTATAAAAAAAAAAAAACATTACCTACATACAATTATTTCAACGAGTACCTACCTACTTTTCCTTATTACTTATCGGATTAGCATTAGTTATCAAAGTGTGAGAACACTGGGAACCATACAGTTTAACAATTGTGACTGCTCGAACATATTAATCATGTATCGAGAATCACGTAGCCGCCTCGAACATTTTCACGGTCACCAACCACGGACCGAGACCCGAAATCCGGAGTGCCGTGGATTTTTCTTTAATATATTATTATATATAACTATATAAGTTTAAATAAGAACTGGATACATTTGGACCAGTAATGTATGATGGGTGACCAGCAATGAAATAAAAAAACAAAACCTCAATTTGGGGAAAAATATGTAGGTATATATGTTTGTTTTACTTGAATAATTAATTAAGTTGGTGCCGAGAAAGCTGACCGGTCTGAGAAAAATAATAATAGTAGAAACTTGTTATATAATAATTAATAGGTCAATTAATAATGTACAGGCCGGCTCAGACCAAACGGTTACCGGCGGGTGGAATAATTATAAGAAATGCCATATTTTCAATAGTATTAATAATAAACAATAATAACCCTAAAGTACCGGGCACGGTGAGAATGATAATAACATCAAAAACAGTTACCAATTAATAATGTGTTGTACTGTGCCGCCAACAGCAAAAAACGGCTGCTACTCGCTGCTACTCGCTCATGCTGTGGTTCTCGGCGTTCTCGCTGAGACGGGAAAAACGGAGTGCTGTACTTTTGACTCTGCCTGCCTATATCCAGCTATTCTGGAGAGGCACGAAGAGGTGAAGCGGACAGAAGGGGTCACATATGATATTGAGATAATGATAAATAGTGAGTGGCCGATACTCTATTGCTTGGGTACTAGGAGGGAAGCGTGTGTGCGTACAGGTGGTGTGATCGTTCATCAGAGGAGATCTGTGGTCCAGCGTCTTATCACCCCGCATGTCGAGCTCATAATGTACCTGTTATGTCATGTAGATATTATAATAATTAATAATTAATGCACTGATTTGCGTTGGAGGTCACACAATATTATGCAAAATGCCGTATTTTTAAAAATATAAGTTGTTTTCATTCGTTCAAAATTCAACCGATTTCTCCATATTATAAATTAATAACTTTACAAAATAGCTTATTCACAATTTTTTTACTTTATAGGATGGTAAGAGGGAGGCTGTGGGTCATAATATTATTAATATTTGAGTATATATAGGTAACTGCTATATTATATTACATTAAAACATTTGTGAGAATCCCTAGTGAACTTAATTTTTTTTTTATTTCTTCCCCATTTTTCCTACCCCAGTATAAACAAATATTCAAGGGCCCTCGGCAATCGCCAGGTAGCCGGGAGGGCTGGACTGACCGGTAAAGCACGATTGAGCATAAAACCATTGAGCATATACCTTTTTAGCAACACGATTGAGCATAGTATATTTTATGCGATGTTGCCACATTCACGTTGCCAACATTTTGTAATTTATTATTTTCTCGTATTATTACACCAATTATTATGATATCTGACGCGAGCATCTGTACTTAATAAGTATTCGTATATAAGTTATACCGTAGTGTGGAGACAGTGGGTTTAATAAAAGCATTTACAAATAAAAGAGTTTTGTAAGTATATTGTTTAGTAACCTAACAAAAATTTAGATTTTTACGATTAAAATATGTATTACGTATATTATATTATTATTATAGACGATTTCAAATATTTTGAAACACCTATAATATATAAATTAATATCAATATTATTGAAAATCACATGTGTTTTTTTGCTTATATCATATTAATATATTATAGCCGTAAAATATATTGTTAAAAATATTTTTAAAAACGACCCATTGCATATTATTATATGATATCTATTATCTATATTAGCATTGAATTACTAATTAAAATATTAAAATAATTGAATGGAAACGAATTCTTAAAAATTAAAATTGCACATATCAATAAAATATGTTACATACGTACGCTTAAACGAACGCGTGGAATAATATAACGCGTAGAGTTTCAAAACATTTCATATTATAATATGTATATAATGATATGTTATGTTATTGTTTACTTGCAGTGATTTGCCGTAATATACGTATTTTATTAATTAGTAGTTGTATTGCCTTAAGGTATGTTGTTTGATGTAAGTACGAATAAAATAATTAATTAGGTACATACTTTAATAATATGTATCGTTTTAAGAAACTTGAAAATTTGAAATATTTTAGATTCTGAGCGGAGCGATGAATGTATTGGTTTTACAATGATGTATGTTTTTTTTTATATTTTTATTTATATTTTTGTGTCTGTCATCACGTTTTAGGACAGTAAAAATGCTTGGATTTTCTTCATCAGTAGCTTTTCTGGTAGGAAAGTGAATCTAGTTGGTACTTTGGGGGGTCAAAAGTATAAATTTCCCATTAGTTTTCACAAGCGCCGGGAAAAACAACATAAAAATTAAGGAAAAACGGGAATTTTTACGCAAAATTGGTTTTCCAAAAAATCGATTTTGGTTATTGGTGTAACTCTAAAACAAATGAACGTATATACATGAAATTTTCACTGGTTGTTTATATTTGCATTTTCTATACACGATAACATTTTCAAAATATTTTGATTTATTTTGAACTGTTTAGGGACATTTTCATTTTCCATTTTTTTTTAGTTTTTTTTCTAAAAATATCAATAAAATTTTATTTGTTGGTTACGAAAGCTTGAAAATTTAATAGAAGGCTCCCAATATGTTGTTTCAAAGGCAGATGAAAAATATTAAAAATCCTTAGTCACAATTTTTTTTTATAAGCATTTAAAGTTCAAAAATTGACAAAATATGGAAAAATCACGAAAATTAGCAAATTATTTTGAGTTAAGAATTCGTAAAAATTTTTCTTTTTAAATCTAAGATTTGAAAATCTAATACAAGATTACTCATAAGATTGTCTACCTTTATCAATAAAAAAATTTCTACCGGAAAGTCAAATTAAATTTTTATGAGCGTTTGAAATTCAAATTTTTACAACATTGGATTTTCACTCGATTACTCATGTAGCGATTTCCTTAATTTGTTGCAATTCAAAAACGAACAACTGTAGATACATGAAAATTTCACTGAATGTTTAAATTAGCATTTTCTATACACCATACAATTTTGAAAATATTTTGACTCTTTTTGAGCTGTTTATGGACATTTACAGCTTTCAATTTTTTTTAGTTTTTTTTTCTATAAATATCAATAAAGGTGTATCTGTTGGGCCAAAAAGTGTAAAAATTTAATACAAGGCTCCTGATATATTGTTACAATATCAGTTGAAAAATATTAAAAATACATAGGCATGATTTTTTTTTATAAGCATTTAAAGTTGGAATTTTGACAAAATTTATCAAAATCTCGAAAATTATCAATCGTTGGAATTAAAAAATTATAAAATGTTCAGTTTTTATAACTAAGAGTTGAAAATTTAAAACAAAGATTCTCTTAAATAATTCATACTGTAACCAAAAAATCTAAAAAATATATAAACACACTTATGTTTTACAGACATTTTAATTTCAAATTTAGACAAAATTTCATATTTAAACCAAGAATTACGATTTTAGTTATTTTGTTTACATTGAATAATATTATTCGTGGGTACAAAATATATATGTAATATGTCTTATACCTAGAAGGACATACCGTCTCCGCTCAGAATCGTTTTTCTTATACAATGATATTATATCATTGAATTCAAATTTAATACCATCCATTATACAATGACCCACTTGTAACCTACTGTACAGCAGAGCGACACCCACTTGCCCACCTTTTTAAAATTAGTTATATAATATAGGTAGGTAATATAATTATAATAATTGATAATTGGACATTATTGTGATACGCGATTATAATATTGATATTATATTTTCACATCGTCAAACTGGTGTAACAGGTGATTTTTACACTCGGATAATTTTATACTAGGATATTATTACCTCCCCTGTAAAAATGTGTTTTTAAAGGGGGGGGGGTAAAAATATCCTAGCATATGATTAATGATCTCTTTAAAAATATATACTAGAATATATTTACCTCCCATTGAATTTTTATGGTAGATTATTTTTACCACCTGGTTATAATGTGTTTTTAATGGGTCTAAAAATATCCTAGCATATAATCAACGATCCGTTTTTAGTTCAAAAATAGTTTGTGATAGTAACTTGCAAAATATACAAATATACAATTTGCAAAATATTTTGCTCATTTTAAGCTATTTAGAAATATTTTAAATACTATTTATTTTTTTTGCTTAGTTGTATACATATAAGTATCTATATGTTTATGCTCAGTTAAAAAGTATGACAATTTAATACTAGATTCCACACAAGTACAACACGTACTCGTTAAAGTTATTTAAAAATATACAAAACATATGTAAACACACATTTATTTTTTTTTTTTTGTCAACGATTGAAGTTGTAGTTTTGACCAAATAGTTGATTGATTTAAATAAATCAATTATTAACCCACCTCACATTTAGCAAATTAATATTATGTGTTTTAGTGTTTCAATAAAATCGTTAATATTTTTATAATTTATATCCTATTAATTTAATATAGGATGCGCCTCTTATATCAAGCTTAACTTCATAGGCAATTACCTATACAAATTATTAATTTTTACGCTTGTCGTGTATGTGCTACTGTAAATAATCTACTTTAAAAATTCAATAGGTGGTAAATATATCCTAGTATATTTTAAAGAGATCGTTAGTTATAATCTAGGATATTTTTACCCCCTTAAGAGGACGTAACACTGGTATTTGTTGTCTCCGTCTTACCAGTGCGTAACATAGCAAATTCACGCTCAGAATAACAATTGTAGCTTCGTCAGTTTAAACATTAGAGTGAATTGGCCTATTATGAAATTTGATGGTAAGAACATTATCCGTGATTTTTTTTTAAGATGATTAAGTTTTTAAGTGAGTTATGAGCATTTTTAATTTACGGTATTTTATATACGCATAACTTTGCTAAAAAATTGAAATACCCTAAAAAAACAACATACCAACACAGATAATGTTCTTACCATCAATTTTCATAATAGGTCAATTCGCTCTAATGTTTAAAGTAACGAAGTTACACGTGTTCTGTACTATACAAATTCAATTGGAAGTAAATAATATAATATTCTAGTATGTTTTAAACAGATCACTAATTATAAGCTAGGATATTTTTACCCCTCTTTAAAAACACATTTTTACCCGGGGTGGGTAAAAATATCCTAGTTTATTCTTACCCCCCTGTCTATAAATTTTACCGGGGGTAAAATTAACCTAGTATATTTTACCCCCGGTTAAGTTATTCTAGGATAATTTTACCCCCCCCCCCAATAATTGAGGGTATTAGAAACTTGCGACACCGGCGTACCGTAGATTCGTAAAAGGTTATCCCGGTATAATTAGTATAATAATTAATGTGGGGTGCCTCGGCCCGTGCGACTACCAATATTATATACTGGCGGTGTAGCGGCGTATCGCTGGTGGGCCTAAAATGTACATACCGCGAGGCCTCGGATTTCCCCATACACATTTAAACAATTTTAACAAGGCATAAAATAAAACATGTATTATGTGAGTACACATTGGATATTGTGACGTTTTAAAAACATTGCACATAATGTAAATATCAACATATAGGTAGGTAGGTACAATAATAATAGGTATATGGACAGTAATAGTAATTACAAATATATTTATGGCAAAGAAAACTAAATCTAGCCGCCTCACAGTGGGATCAAACACGAATTTAGAGTGCCAAAAGTACAATTTTACCTTTTGAGTTACCATTACACTAAAAAATTATTGTTTTTTTTTTTATCAATAATTTATTGTTACAATATTGTGACGCTTAAACCAGAATTTTAAAACTATTAATTAACATACACCTGACTTACAGCTGTTGATATAAAATATATACATTATTTGATTGATATTTTCAAACTTTTATAAATTTTTATAT